GGGGAGAGAATGCCCTTACGACTCAAAGATAGAATCGATCTAGTACCAAATAGAATACTCATTGTTTTTCTCTCCTTTTATTTTTTATCCCTCATTATGTCTTGTAATGTTAAACTTAATACTTTTAAAGTATATATATATATATATATATATATATATATATAAAGTGGTCATTGAGGTCAACACCCAGCAGTGGCAGTCTGTTTCATGATTAAACGCAAGCTTCACGCCATGTATGTTGTGTTTCGGCTCGACTATTTATAAAGAGTGTTTCATTAAGATGGATTATATATAAGGATGTTTCATTAAGACGGATCAAATTAGGCAGTAAATAAATCAATGTTAATGGTGAAAATTTATTTATTTCTCTATTGGATCATATTATTTAAGTTGGGGCAATTATGTCTGAAAAATAATATCACCCAAATGGCCTCCAAATCTGAAAGAAAAAGAAAAAAATTCTTTAGACGCTAAAACTTTGTTCACGTTTAAAATCGATTGAAGTTATTGGAACACCCTTTATTTGGAATTCGAACGAAATATGGTTGACTTGATTCCGTGCAACTGGAATCTCCTTGAAGAAAATGTTTGAGTTAAAGAATAAAATTCCTCTGAATATTTGCCATGGATTCATTACACACAAGATGGCGTAAACCATTTTGAAATCAAAGCTGAAAATTGAGGATTAGGTAGCAGAGTTCGGCCATTTTGTGGGTCTAATCTGTAATAAAACTAAAATATGGCAGAAGTAGTTGGGTTTCTGTAGCCGTAGAATAAGCCAACAATTTTTTGCCGTATCTTTAGCCATGGATCTTATGTAGAAGTTCCATTTGAGGTCTGAAGTGGACTTAAGTTAAAACCATGGCACCTCGTTGGGAGTGAAATCGTTCATTATGACGGGAAAAAGCTCGAGGTCTGGTAGGAGATTTGAACAGGAGTAGAGGCCCTTCATTTGTTTTCCTGTTTAGGGTTGGGTTTCCGGTCCCCCCTCTTTAACTCTATAACCCTATAATGTCTCAGGAATTTTATTCGCTAATTATTGACCTCTTCATGTCTATAAGTAGCTGTCTATCTTTCCTGTTATCTTGCACTATCTTACGTTAATACAACTCTACCTTGAGTGGCCCTTAGGCCTTATATTGGGTGAACATTAGTAAAACGTCCTGTGTATGACGATAAACTACATCCGGCAGCAAGTCTTTCATCGGTAGGTTTTGAGGAGCGTAGAATCACCTCGTAATTGGCGTTGTTCCTAGGTCCACCCTGACCCCGGGGGTGGGGGATAGCACAAGTTAGAGTCCCAGCTATGAGAAAATAGTGAATCCCAAACTGGGGTCAAAACACCGTGAAACTAAAAAAAATAAATTTTTATAGTTAGAATTTCCAACAATAGATTTTAATAGTAAAAAAAAAAAAAAATTCCAATGATACCAAATTAAATTTTGGCATTAAATGACCCATAAAGAGGTGATAGTAACTTTAATATATATATATATATATATATATATATATATATATATATATATATATATATATATATATATATATAATTCTCCGATTTAACCAGTAGAGAACAATATTTATGAATAAAAATGACAATAGAAAAACTGGTAATTGCTGACGCGTTTCGTCCAATGTGGACTTTATCAAAGCATTTCATTTTCGTATTTTTGCTTTGATAAAGTCCACATTGGACGAAACGCGTCAGCAATTACCAGTTTTTCTATTGTCATTTTTATTCATATATATATATATATATCATCATACTTATTATAAAACCCAGGTTGTGTGTGTGTGTGTGTCTGTTCGTTTATATATTGGATCGAATTTCCTACATTTTTCAACCGATTTCAACAAAACTTCACAAGACTACGTAAAATTACCTTGCGGTGGTTCTGACAGTGCTAAAAATTGGAAAAATACAATTGTCTTTGCATGAAATCAATTTGAAAACACAATTAAGAGGCATCGCAAGAATGAAAGGGGGACAACTCATATCGAGTTATATTTATTATAAAACCCATGTTGTTTGTGTGTGTGTGTATGTGTTCGTTTATATATGGGATCGGATTTCCTACATTCTTCAACCGATTTCAACAAAACTTCACTTTTTTTTTTGGCAGGTAATGTTTCTTATTGTCTTGCACACTTTTTTCTTTATTTTTACATTCAGAATGCTTTAAAAATTCCATTTACAAGACAATTGTTTATAATAAAATTCTATTCAATCGGTAGACTCATAACCATTGAAAACAATGTTTTCGTTTGAGTTTGGGTTTGACCAATTCGTAAAAAAAAGAAAAACTAATTAAGACATGCGTGTCCGTCAACCTTAAACAATAATCTTTGTCAATTTTATTTTTCAGTCTTTATGATGGTCGATACTTGATCTATCTCTTACTGTTACATCCCCGGGCAACGCCGGGCTCTACTGCTAGTTACCTTTAACGGGTGTGGACGGAGAGTCACTGTGTAGCTGAGTACTTTTATATATTTGACGTGAAATCCGCATAGGTATTCATTCCTGCATAGTGTGTATGGGGCAGTTAGATTTGGTGAAGCCCATCCCTCATCGCGTCAAACCACAGCCAATATCCTCCAACAAAGTCTCATACCTGGTCAACGTAGCCATTGATCCAATTGGAGGAACCATCTTCCCTGACTGTTGACTTCATACACCGAACGCCTTTCCATCAAACGATGCTGGTCGTGTCCTCACTGCCTGCACCAGTTCCATCCATAGCTATGGAGCCCAGTCTCCCCATTGTGCTAGATGTCCGTTGATCCTACAAGAAAGTTCATTTACCCTTTGAAAGGTCTTGTTTTTAATCCTGCCGGGTGTGTGGCCACGCCTCTCACCAGGAAAAAGCCCGTGGAACCACACCATGTGTGTGTGTGGTGTGTGTGTGAGAGAGAGAAAGAGAGAAAGAGAGAGAGAGGGAGAGAGAGATGTTCCTTTAGATGCCTTGATTAGTTCTTTGGAGGTTAGAGTTGATCAGCCTATACTGCTGTCTGGCGAAAGGGTAGAGAGAACACACATCGAAGTCCTTTTCTTTTCTTGGGTTTATAATGACACCAGAATGTAGTCAGGAAGTGCGGTGAGGGGAGAGACAGAGGGAGAAAGAGAGTGAGATATAAAAAGGAGAGAGGGAGAAAAAGAGTGGGAGGGATTGAAGACAGAGGGAGTAAAAGAGAGAGAAAAAGGAGAGGGTAATTAAGAGAGGGGAGATAGAGGGAGAGAGAGTAGGAGGGAGAGAAAGTGGGAAGGGAGAACGAGAGGGATGGGATGGGAGTGAGAGGGAGTAAGAGAGGGAGTAAGAGAGGGAGAGAGGAGGAATAGGAAGGGTTGAGAAAAAGAAGAGAGAGGAGGAAGAGGGAGAGTAGAGAAAAAGAAGAGAGAGGGAGAGAGACGGAGAGATGAGTGAGAGAAAGAAAGAGAGAGAGGGCGATATTCTTTCAGTTGTCATGTTATATATATATATATATATATATTTAGTTAGAGTGATGTGAGTTTGTGACCCTGGGTTTCACAGTATTTGCGATCGTCTGACGTCGGACAAACGTTTGTCTGACGATCGCAAATAGCGTGAAACCCATGGTCTAAACTAACATGAAACCAACTAAATATGTTCGCTTTATCAATGATATTGAAGTACATACATATATATATATATATATATATATATATATATATATATATATATATATAATTAATTAAAAAAAACAGACCACGTTAAAGCTCCATTTTCAATAATTTATTTCGCTATATATATATATATATATATATATATATATATGTGTGTGTGTGTGTGCGTGTGTGTGTGTGCATGCACGGTGGAGTCGAATCTATTACATTCACTTACGTGCTAATAACCCTTGGGAAAGGTGTGAATCCTCTTCTCCCTCCAGCTATGGGTAAATAGCAGGGCAGACTGGGTTCTATAGCCTTGGATGGCAACTGGTCTAGGAGAAGGACAACTCTGAATTCAAAACCTGCGGAGGGTCGTTTGGGGACCTTGTGACACGTAGTGCACCAGGTCTCTGTATTCGGCCCTTCAAAAAGTGTGGATGGTCCTGCACGAAACCTTCACCACTATAATCAATTCTCATGTGCTGTTGTCGGGCTGTCGGTTTCCTAAGAACTGATCTGCTTGACCCTCATACGCCGAATTCGACGAGAGAGTCGAATATAATATAATATAATATATATGTATATATATATGAATATATATATATATATATATATATATGTATGTATGTATGTGTATTGTGAGAGAGATAAGAAGAATTTTCCAGATTCTGAAATCCACTCATGAAGACAAGACATACACAGATACGCACACGCTACAATCCATCCACCCACGCACACACAGATATATATATATATATATATATATATATATATATATATATATATATATATATTGAAAAATATGTTCAAAAAAATATATATATTTGTAGCAGAAATCATTTTTTAATATTAGTCTTTGTACTTATTGACAAACCTCCAAAATACATTCACACACTCATGATATACGATCCATATACAATTAGAAGGCATATCTATACACGTCTTCTGCCTTTTCTCACAGACAGAAATGTTTATTTATAGTAATTCTACCAACGCAACTTTTGTCCTGTGTTTCTTGCTACCTGAAATATTCTTGTTTGAAATTCTCAAAGACCGCTTTGATAACATTACTTTTAGCATCAGCAGCAGTCGTAATGCCCAAAGAAAAGATGGCGGCTTCGATCGTATTCATGACGGCAAATGCTATTCATTTGTAGGAAAGGTAAGAAGGAATAGCAATTAGAGACAGTAAAAGAAAAAAAATGGATAGGATGCCAAGAAGAAGAAGAAAAAGATGAAGAAGAAGAAGGCGGAGGAGAAGAAGAAATGTACGCACGTTCGCGCGCTCTTACGGCAATGGCGGGCGAGCAAGCATTGCTGTCGAAAAATCAATATTCGTATCTAGGTTTAATCTGGTTAGATGTTTTTCATGCGCTTTTCTTCGTCGTTGGCTGCCTTGCTTTTCTGTCGAGGATGTCGAGGTTGGGAAAGTAGGGCTGGAAAGATGAACAAGCGAAAGAGAGTTGTTTGCAGGCGATCAGGTTGAAGGTGAGGAAGAAAAAGGGCGGGAAGCAGTTGTTACAATGGTCGATATGAGTGCTTCGGCGATACAATAAGAACATCAGTTTCATAGATGCATTTGCGCGCATAGAAAGATAAAAGCCATTGTAGACGTGTGCGTATATTGCATCCGGTGTGTTACATATACCTCCAGCCTTAAAGAGCCGGAGTTTGTTAATTGCATCCTTTTATACATCAAATTGTCGTTTCTTTTTCTAAGATTCAATGTAGTTGTAGAAAACTCGAGAATAAATCTTAATTGCTATTTGAATTCTTTTCTGTTATTAGTTTTAAAATTTTTTTTTAAGGAAACCTGTTCATCATTATTTGCCAGTTGATCATATGACGGTGTTGAATATTGGGAACATTTTCATTATTGTGGGTATTAACATAATTTATCACTTTTGTTTATCCGTACGTTAGCTTTTTCTACGAGTCGCTTTCAAATTTAAGTAGGCTTTTATCACAGGTCGATCATGAAAACTTGACCTTTGAACAGACAATAAGCAAAACATCACGGCTGTAAACAAATGGAATATGCACTGAAATCCGCTTTTTGAAGCTAATCTAAACATTATTTAGTTATTAAAGGCAGTCATCTATCTATCTATCTATCTATCTATCTCAGTCTTTTCATATATATGTATGTATGTATGTATCTATCTATCTATCTATCTATCTATCTATCTGCATATAAGCCTATTTATCTCAGTCGTTTCATATCTATCTATCTAGCTATCTCAGTCTTTTCATATCTATCTATCTATCTATCTATCTATCTATCTATCTATCTATCTATCTATCTATCATATCTATCTATCTATCTATCTATCTATATATCTATCTATCTATCTATCTCAGTCTTTTCATATCATATCTATCTATGTATCTATCTATCTATCTATCTATCTATCTATCTCAGTCTTTTTCATATATATGTATGTATCTATGTATGTCTTATGTATCTATCTATCTATCTATCTATCTATCATCTCTTTGCATATAAGCCTATCTATCTCAGTCTTTTATCTATCTTTCTATCTATCTATCTATCTATCTATCTATCTATCTATTTCAGTCTTTTCATATATATGTATTATGTATGTATCTATCTATCTATCTATCTATCTATCTATCTATCTATCTCATTTGCATTATCTCAGTCGTTTCTATCTATCTATCTAGCTATCTCAGTCTTTTCATATCTATCTATCTATCTATCTATATCTATCTATCTATCTATCTATCTATCTCTTTTCATATATATCTATCTATGTATTTCATATCTATCTATCTATCTATCTATCTATCTATCTATCTATCTATATCTATCTCATTTATCTATAGTATGTATGTATGTATCTATCTATCTATCTATCTATCTATCTATCTGCATTTAAGCCTATTTATCTCAGTCATCATATCTATCTATCTATCTCAGTCTTTTCATATCTATCTATCTATCTATCTCTTTGCATATAAGCCTATCTATCTCGGTCTTTTCATATCTATCTATCTATCTATCTATCTATCTATCTATCTATCTATCTATCTCAGTCTTTTCATATATATGTATGTATGTATGTATGTATGTATCTATCTATCTATCTATCTATCTATCTATCTATCTATCTATCTGCATATAAGCCTATTTATCTCAGTTTTTCATATCATATCTATCTATCAGTCTTTTCTAGCTATCTATCTATCTATCTATCTATCTATCTATCTATCTATCTCTTTGCATATAAGCCTATCTATCTCGGTCTTTTCATATCTATCTATCTATCTATCTATCTGCTCTGTTCATATCTATATGCCCATTCATAGGTTCAAATTTTAGAAATATTTTCACATTGAACGTCATAACATATTACTTAAACGCAAAAGTTTAAATAAACACAAAATTAAACAGAAAATTAAAATTAAACAGAAAATTAAATTAAACGCAAAATTAAAAACAAATTAAACAGAAAATTAAATTAAACAGAAAATTAAAATTAAACACAAAATTAAACAGGAAATTAAATTAAACACAAAATTAAAATTAAACACAAAATTAAACACAAAATTAAACAGAAATTAAACACAAAATTAAAATTAAACAAAGTTTTTAATAAGTGATTTTCAAAAGATTAAATGTAGCTCGTCGTTGAAAAGTGCGAGATATTTGTCCTTCCTAATGATTAAATGTTAACCAGTATCACTAACCTGGCAGGCGAGTACAACGTTTAAATTTTATCAGCAAGTGTCCATATTTGATCCTCATCTAAGGGTCTGTAATTATATCAGCCGTCATCGGTTGGGTCCATCTGTGGTGACAAGAATAAAGTTTGACTGGTGCACGAGAACGTCCGTAAATGATACAAAGACTCGCGACTCAGTGCGCGGACGTTTTAATTAGACGTCGAAGCCGTAGGAAATCTTATCAAATTACCTCTGTTTTGTACCAAGATTAAAACGGCACTGATCTTTGAAGTTGACTCTAAAAGAAACGGCGGGAAACAAAGTCCATTGGCAAATGAAAGTAGGGACCAGACGTGGACCAGACGTGGACCAGATGTGGTTATTTGTTGGGGGACTGTCCTTGAAAGAAAAATAAAGAAATCATAGAATCTATTGTTGTACTTTGATTTGCAGAAAACCTTTGGTGATTGTGTACTCTCTGATATAATACACGTGCCATCCTCCTTCAGGGTGTTCATTGCTCTCCACATCTTCCTGTTATTCATTTGTCTCAGTAGTAGATAACTTCGCTTATCTTCCAGTTCACACTCCTCTCTGAACTTTTGAACAAAATTTTTTCACCCTTACCAAGGCAATAAAGCCACTAAGGTTACTAAAGGTTAGAGAATATTGAGAAAATCACTATTAAGGAGATAAGTACCTTCTATGTTGTTATTTCTCTTCTCAATATTCATTTAATTATCTAACAAAGCTTCATTCCCATATATATATATATATATATATATATATATATATATATATATATTTATTTGGTTGGTTTTCGGCTCTCGTTATTGAAACATGAGAACTCTTATGTAATGAAGGGATCATATTTTAAGCAAAAAATATTATAATATATATATATATATATATATATATATATATATATATATATTATAATATTTTTTTGCTTAAAAATATGATCCCTTCACTACATAAGAGTTCTCATGTTTCAAAAAACGAGCCGAAACTATCCAAATAATTATTAAAATTATGTTGAATTGAGGTGTTTAGTCTCGTTTCATCTTCAAGCAAAATTCTAGGTTCCTAGGTTCTGCTATTATCTCTAACCTGGATCATCACAAAGCATGTGGACCCCATTATTATCCCTCTAATAGTCAATAAGAAGTGTGCTCCCGAACTGGCTCCTGTTCTCTCTAAACTGTATAATAAACGCCTCGTTGCCTTCTGCTTTCTTGCCTGTTGAAAGTCATTATCTGTTGTCCCAGTTTTTACGACCCATCCAACAATAGATCTACTAGACTTCTACTTCTTTTGAGGAGACTATTTTCTTCTTTAAGAGTTCACTAACATTAAACTCATGGCAAAATCTTAGGATGTCATTGCGTCATTATTGTTTTCATATTGATTGACTTTTTGCAAGGCGAACTAGACGTGAGCATTTATACGACCGGTATTTTCGGCTATAAAATTAATGGCGGTTGACGATGGAAGGAATTAAGCAAACAAAATATAAAAGAAGATGATCCAAAAGATAGAGACTTGGTAATTTCATTTTTTTCACGTTTTTTTTTTTGTCTTTCTCATAATATATATATATATCCACTTTTCTATTAGAGTTTATTTATAGTTGCCAGTATCTATCTATCTATCTATCTATCTATCTATCTATCTATCTATCTATCTATCTCAGCCTTTTCATATCTCTCTATCTATTTCAATCTCTTCATATCTATCCATCTATCTATCTATCTATTTTTCTATCTGTCTATTTCAGCCTCTTCATATCTATCTATCAATCTATCTATCTCAGTCTCTTCATATCTATCTATCTATCTATCTATCTATCTATCTATCTATTTCAGCCTCTATCTATCTATCTATCTATCTATCTATCTATCTATCTATCTATCTATCTATCTATTTCAGCATCTATCTATCTATCTATCTATCTATCTCAGCATCTATCTATCTATCTATCTATCTATCTATCTATCTCAGCCTTTTCATATCTCTCTATCTATTTCAATCTCTTCATATCTATCCATCCTATCTATCTATCTATCTATCTATCTATCTATCTATCTATTTTTCTATCTGTCTATTTCAGCCTCTTCATATCTATCTATCTATCTATCTATCTATCTATCTATCTATCTATCTCAGTCTCTTCATATCTATTGCAATCTATCTATCTATCTATCTATCTATCTATCTATCTATCTATCTATCTATTTCAGCATCTATCTATCTATCTATCTATCTATCTATCTCAGTCTCTTCATATCTATTTCAATCTCTTCATATCTATCTATCTATCTATCTATCTATCTATCTATTTCATTGTCTGATCAGGGTTTATGGTATCCTTGTAATAGTCATTAAGAAATGTGCCCCCGAACTGGCTCCTGTCCTCTCTAAACTGTATAATAAATGCCTCACTGTCTCCTTCTTTCCTACCTGCTGGAAATCATAGTCTATTGTAAACCGTCGGACCCATCCAACTATTGGTCTATTAGTCTTCTACTTCTTTTTGGGAAACTCCTAGAGGCCCTAATCAATGCTGAATCCGTTCATCATCTCTCATCAGAGGGCCTTTTCTCAGACAAGCAATACAACTTTCGTTTTTCCAGGTCAACATCTGATGTACTACTGATAATTGCGGAAAGAGTCTGTCATACTCTAGATAAAAACGGTGAAGCCCGGGCTGGAGCATAGGACATCATGAAAGCATTTAACAGGTTCTGGCATTTAGGACTTCTCCACAAGCTAAAAAGTTACGATATCTCCAGGCACATTTTTGAGCTGATCCAGTCGTTCCTATCAAATCGTGAGATGAAAGTTGTCTTGAACGGCCACTCATCTACATCCTTTCGTACTAACGCGGGTTTCCCCCTGGGCTTCATCCTTGGTGTTTTTAATCTTCAGTAACGACCTTCTCGATGACATCAGCTCTCAACTTAGTATTTACGCTGACGATACAACCATCTGACTAGTCCGAAAAGGTCAAAATGATAGCTGGTGTCCAAAGTGACCTCAAGACCGTCGATGGTTTGTCAATTTTAACACCTCCAAAACAAAACGTTTCTCCATTAATCCTCTGAGAGACCCTTTATTCAGCATGGCTGATGCTATCCTCCAGGAAAGCGACTTGTTAACTTTCTCAGTTGATATAAAATGGGAAGACTATATTGAATCCGTTGCTAGGTCGGCTGGAAAGGAAGTCAGTTCACTGTGCCGAGTAAGACAATTTTTCTCTCCAGAATCTACCATTCGTCTATGCTTAGAATATTGCTGCTAACATATGGTGCAGTGCCGCTGTTACTTGCCTTGAACTGTTTAAGATCCCAAGAAGAATCTGCAATATTATTGGTCCTGATCTGGCGGCTCAGCTCCAGTCACTTTTTCAACGACGTAAGATTGCCTCTCTGTCTTTTCTATAAATATTTCATGATAATTTTGAATGAGTTCTTTGCTATGGTATCTAGATTTTTTTAAAATTAAGCGCAGTACGATACTGGCAATGAGACCTCATCAATTTACAGTTGAGCTGGCGAGATGTAGCCGTAAGTTCTATGCTAACAGTTTCTTCCCTCTCGTTTCTCAATTGTGGATCTTTCTTCCGGCTCCTTGCTTTCCAGTCGGCTTTGATTTGTAAAAATCTAAATGCAATGTCAATCGCTATCCGCTGTCTGCCTGATTAATCTCTTCACTTTCTGCTCATCATTAATTTTTCTGTTCTTAATTCTTCCACACCATGTAACCCCTTGTGTTTTAGTGGCATTACTGCCTTGCTTGGGTGATTGTGATTAAAAAATCAATAAAAGAACAAGAATGAAGAAAGCAGACGATAACGATTGACATTGCATTTTAATTCTATAAAATGATGAGACCTTATCGCTTATCTAGTCATGCGCTTATGCTCATAAATCTACGTACCACCGAAGAAAGATCATCATTATAATTTCCATGAACACTATTAAGGAGAGAGAACAATAAAAGGATAGATTTTAAGAAGACAGAAGATAACGATCGACATTGCATTTAAATTTTTGAAGATCGAATTTGACTGGAAAAAAGTCTTCGTCTATTTTCACCCACGTCTATCAAACACTGTTTCTGTCGGATTTAAGACTTCGTTTTTAATCATTTCACCCCAAGCAAGGCAATAAAGCCACTCACACGATGGGGGCTACTAAGTGTGAAAGTATATAAGAATAAGAAAAAAAAGTTATTAAGGAGAGAGAAAAATAAAATATCAGGAATTAAGAAGACAGAAGATAACGATTGACATTGAATTTAAATTTTTGAAGATCGAATTTGACTGGATAAAAGCCTTCGTCTATTTTCACCCACGTCTATCAAACACCGCTTCTGCCAGATTTAAAACTTCGTTTTTAATCATTTCACCCTAATATAATGGAATATGCGTACACCTGTGTTGCCCCTCAATGGAGTGTGATTGGCTGGTGTCCGTCATAAATACCAACGGACATGTAGGAGAGTCAGAGGAGCCAAGAGCCTTAGTCTGAGACTATAACGACGCCCATTGGACTACGCCATTGATCTACACTTCTTACCTGCGACTACGACGTGTACCAGTCGATTACTGCTACCGTATTCTACTTGGTTATAGTAGCCAAAATCACTTAGCTACTTCGTTCAAATATATCCCTTTCCGGGACATATCACACCCCAAGCAAGGCAATAAAGCCACTAACACGATGGTGGCTACTAAGTGTGAACGTTTATAAAATTAAGAAAAAAAAGTTATTAAAAAGAGAGAACAATAAAATATCAGGAATTAAGAAGACAGAAGATAACGATTGACATTGCATTTAAATGTTTGAAGACCAAACTTGATAGGAAAGCAAGAAGACGGAAGAGAGGTCCACAATTGCGATAGAAGAAACTGTTAGCATAGAACTTACGGTTGCATCTAGCCATTTCAAGTGTAAGATAACGAGGCCTTGCTGATAATCTAAAACTGTGCTTAAATTCATAAAGTTTGGATACAATCGAGGAAAGTTCATCAAAACGATTACCATGAAGATTATTAAAGAGAGAGAAAAATAAAGAATATCAAATAAAAAAAAAAACAGGAATTAAGAAGACAGTAGATAACGATTGACATTGTTTTTAAATGTTTGAAGACCAAAGTTGGCTGGAAAGCAAGAGGCTTGAAGAGAGTTCCACAAGCGAGAAGTGAGAGAAAAGAAACTGTTAGCATAGGACTTACGGTTAAATCTAGACATTTTTAACTGAAAAATTATGAGACCTTGCTGCCAATCCAGTACTGCTATTCAATTCATAAAATCTAGATACCATAGGGGAAATTTCATCAGAACAATTACAAGTATTGATAGAAAAGGCACAGGGAAGTTATGTTACGGCGTTGGGAAAATGACTGAAGGCGAGATGCCAGGTCACGACCAGTAACATTGCAGATTCTTCTTCGGATTTTATAAAGAATCTGTAAATATATAGCAAGAGCACCAGACCATATGTGGCAGCAATATTCAAAGTATGGATGTATGGTAGACTTATAATTATGTAAGATAGATTCTGGAGAGAAACATTGCAGATTTCTCTTTGGATTTTATCAAGAATCTCTAAATATATAGCAGGAGCACCAGACCAGAGGTGGCAGCAATATTCAAAGTATGGATGAATGGTAGACTTATAAATATGTAAGATAGATTCTGACGATAAAAATTGTCTAGCACGACGTAGTGAACCAATTTTAGCAAAGTTGGTTCACTATGCATCAAATACAGAGTATTTATATTACGGCGATGGGAAAGTGACTGAAGCCGAGATGCCAGGTCAGGATCAATAACATTACAGATTCTTCTTTGCATTTCTGTAAATACATATGAGAAGCATCAGATCAGATGTGACAGCAATTTTCAATGCACGGGCGAATGTGTAAAATAAATTGTCTAACTCGATACAGTGAATCAACGTTCCTAGCAGCAGACCTAGAAATTGGTTCAATATATTCTTTCCACTTTACGTCAGCGAAAAACATTAGCACGATGAGGCGCAATGAAGCATTCTCCTAGAGGTTAACATTAGCCTTGATGGTTGAAGGTAAAAAAGGTTCTCTCAGACTATTAAAATATATGTATGAAAAGGTGCTGAAAACTTTTCATGCTGACCAAAAAGGTTTTTGCCGCCAAAAGATTCTGGTCTTTGGACTGTTATGATTCAGAATGATGGTAACATTTCATCATTCTAAAAATCTTCATCATTATAAAAACGACCCTTCCATCACAAGCGAAGGAAGTTAGGACAGCAGAGTAGAGTAACAGTAGTAAAAAGAACAACACAGACGTATCCCGATCGTTCCGTAAAAATCCACAGTTAACGATCTCAAACGCTACCCTTAACAACAAAATTCTCATAACAAGCAAAAACAAGTAAGCAAAAACTTTTAAAGAAACAAAAGAGGCGATAACACTGAGAATGGCTTTAACACACCCAATACGAATATTGTAATTAACACCACGAAAAGAAATATACACATTCTTGTCATTAATGTCAACACGTATCTCAAAGTTTTATTGTTTATGTTATTGTTTTATGTTTTGTTAGTTTCATTTTCAGAAAAAAATAGGGAAAAGGAATCCTCTATCAACTACATACATACATGTATATATATATATATATATATATATATATATATATATACAAGCAGTAGAGCCCGGCGTTGCCCGGGGATGTAACAGATAGATCAAGTATCGACCATCATAAAGACTGAAAAATATAATTGACAAAGATTATTGTTTAAGGTTGACGGACACGCATGTCTTAATTAGTTTTTTTTTTTTTTTACGAATTGGTCAAACCCAAACAAAAACATTGTTTTCAATCGTTATGAGTCTACTGATTGAATAGAATTTAATTATAAACACTTGTCTTGTAAATGGAATTTTTAAAGCATTCTGAATGTAAAAATAAAGAAAAAAAAGTGTGCAAGACAATAAGAAACACTACCTGCCAAAAAAAAGTGAAGTTTTGTTGAAATCGGTTGAAAAATGTTTGAAATCAGATCCCATATATAAACGAACACACACACACACACACACACACACACACACACACACACACACACACACACACACACACACACACACACACACACACACAAACAAACAACCTGGGTTTTATAATAAGTTTAACTCGAGATGAGTTGTCCCTCTTTCATTCTCGTGATGACTCTTAATCGTGTTTTCAAATTGATTTCGTGCAAAAACAATTGTGTTTTTCCCATTTTTGGCGCTGTCAGAACCACCGCAAGGTAATTTTACGCAGTCCTATGAAGTTTTAGTGAAATCGGTTGAAAAAA